GTATACATTAAAGAACTGTAGTTTGTTTCTAATTATGCCAGTGCATTGTCACTGACAAGAGAGTTGTCAGAATGACAGTCGGGTAGGAACATACATGTATTTTGGTGGATTTATTTGCCTGCTCTCAATAGTATCATTAATGAAATTGTCACAAGTGACTTGTGCACTGCATATCAAATGAAAGCACATCTAAAATGATTATTTTCATAAATATGCAACTGCCTCCATATACTGAGCTGTGGTCAAACTTGATTCAAGCGATTACAGTAAGTATCTTGGCTAAAGATTGATTAACAGTATTTTTCTGTTGAGAGAATCATACTGGTAGTTAACCACTTCCAGCCGGGGGCTCCGGTACCGGAGCCATAGGCCTTACATTTGGGGCCGGGGACTCCGAAATCGGAACTTTACTTTAAAAAAGAAAAAAGTTGCTGGGCGTTTCTTAAAAGTTTGGGGCTGTCAGTTAAAAAGTTTACGCCATCATTGGCCAGTGAATTGTGACTTTTTTTAAAGCCGGGGGGACCAAACTTATTTTGTAGCCGGGGTGACCGAACTTATCAAAGCCTGGAATAAAAGTACAAGGTCCTGAGAGCTGCTGGGCACTGCCAATCAATCCCTGTATTCTTTCAGCGCAGAGCGCTGCAACTAGCGGAGGTAATAGGTGTATTGTTTTGCAGAGCGCATTTGTTTGCGCTGCCAGGCGCTCGCAGGGGATTATCGCTGCACTGCACCGAAGACAAAGCGCGGGCTTGCGGGCTCATTATGCGCCTGCGCCCCATGAATGACCCGGCCCGGGCGCTGCTGGCCCTTGCCTCGTTGACTGACAGGGGACGGCCCTCGCTGCTTGAGAATAAAAACGCTGTGCAGTGTTCACATGTGTTCATATTGGGTATCGTGTTATTTAGAGTACAGACAACATGGCTGAAGTTATATCCGGAGAGTCCAGTTCTTCCAGCGAAAGCGAGTTTTATCTGATTTCAGACGAAGTTTCTTCGTCTTTTTCATCACCACCGTCACCTGCTCAAGTACAGTCAAGTACAGAAATTGACAGTGATGTACCCTTGGCGGTATATGCCAAGCGCAAGAGACAGTCCCGTACACAGACTGCCGCGTCGACCAGCAGCAGTGCCGCACCGTTCCGGTGGACAGATGAAGACAGTACACCGCTGAAGTACGGCTCCACCGGTAATGGTGGTGCCATCGATCCCCACCTGCATCGCAGCTCAACCTGCAGTGAAGCCTTTGAACTGTTTTTTGACGACGTTCTCTACAACAAGACGAGTGCAAGAGAGCAACCAGTATGCTGTGCAGAGGCCCGCTACGACATTGGTGCACATGCGATCATGGACTGATCTGAACACTAGAGAACTGAAGGCCTTTGCATAATGACGGGCATTGCGAAGCACCCCACCCTTCATAGCTTCTGGTCCACCGACAAACTACTGAAGATGACCCTATTCCCGTCCGTCGTGCCCCGAGATCGCTTCCTTGCCATCCTGCAGTCCCTGCACTTCAACGATAACACTGCCATGCCAGATGACTGCACCGACCGCCTCTTCAAAGTGCGCCCAGTCGTCGACCATCTTGCCCAGAAGTTTGCCACTGTCTACGTTCCTCAACGGGACATTTCCATCGACAACTCCCTGCTGAAGTTTTACGGGCATCTCCGCTTCGCTACCTACAACCCCAGAAAGAGGGCCCGCTTCGGCATCAAGATGTACAAGTTGTGCCAGAGCACCAGGAGTGCCGCCGGGTACTGCTACAACTTCAAAATCTACACCGGCCAAAGTAAAGGAGACGTCCCAGCAACTACACAAGTGGTGATGGACCTGGTGAACGACCTAAGTGGTAAGGGCTACAACCTTGCCCTCGACCGGGCCTTTAGCAGTCCCGATTTGTTTGGACGACTTCACAACCAGAAGTTCAACGTCGTCGGCACAGTCATGGGGAACAGAAAAGGGATGCCAAAAGACCTGCAGTCCGTCAAGCTGAAGCGGGGCGAAACAGCATCCCGGTCGGCCGACCTGGGTGTCAGCAGTTCTCTCCTGGCCATGGTGTGGAGAGACAAGCGCAACATCCGTATGCTCTCCACCATGCATACGGCAGACATCCGTGGCACCGGCAAGCAAGACAGGACAGGGCAGGAAAAGCAGAAACCGACCTGTATCATCGAGTACAATGCCCTGATGGGGGGCGTTGACAAGAGCGACCAACTAGCGGCAAATCATCGAGCAACTCGTAAGTCCCTCAAGTGGTACATGAAGCTCTTCTTCTACCTGCTCGACTTGACGCTGGTGAACAGCTACGCCGTGTACCTGGCCGTTGGTCACGTCTCTCCTTCCTCGACTACCGCTTGAGTCTTGTCCGTGAGCTGCTGTTCAACGAGCCCTTGCCCGAGTACCGCCCTCAGCACGATACTCCACCATTCACCAACTCCCGCTTTGTCGGCCGACACTTCCCCCGTGGACTTTGAGAGGACCAGCTATGGCGACTTCCACAACCAGCAGTGTGTCCTCTGCGCTTCCCATGGTCTGCGAAAGAAGACACACTTCGAGTGCGACACGTGCCACTAGCCCCTCTGCATCGCCCCCTGCTTCAAGGAGTACCATACTGTCCACTAATTGACACTTT